CGGGACACCAGCGTGGACCCTCCCCGCGGTGCTGAGCACCGTGCCTGGCACAGCAACTTCTCCCGGTGCTGTGCACCAAAGTGGGGGGCTCACAGCTCCTGCCGTGGAGGACCTTCGGGCCAAACGCTGCCCCCCAAAACACCTACAAGCTTTGCAGTCTCCCCTCGCCGGGACAGTGGTACCCAACCCACAGCCCCCAGGCACCTGTCGATGAAGACAAGGAAGGGGATGCGGATGGGGAAGCCTTCCTTGCGGATGCGGATGGTCTCCAGGATCCCCGAGTACCGTAGCTGGCTGCTGACCACGTCAGCCTCGAAGAGCCCTGGCTCCTGGGGAGGAGTTGGGGAGAAGCCACGGTGGCCATGCGAGCAAACCCCTGCCCACCATGCACCCACCGCGCTGCCCGTGCCGGCCAGGGCAGGCAGCACCGGCATCACTGCAGGCAGGAAAGCCCAGGGCAGGCTCTCACCTTCTTGTTGTTGGGTTTGAGACAGCGCACAAAGAAGGGGTTGCACCTGCATCGGAGAGACCCTGTCAGCCACAGGGGACAGGAGACAAAGCCAGCCTGGCCACTTTGGGCTCGGTCTGGCTGTCACCCTGCTCCCGCCAGCCCAGAGCGTGGCCTGGCTGCCTGCCCTGCCTGCTCTGCCTGACCTGCCTGCCCTGACCTCTCCATCTTCCCCACCAGGTCCAGGAGTGACTGCTGGAACCGGGCGGCCACGGTGGGGGCTTTGTACCGCCGCGTCCTGGTGCTGCTCCTCCTGACCAGGCTCCTCTGCCGGGCCATCACCTGGGCATGGCCGAAGAAGAGGTTGGCCACCACCTTGGGGACATGGGAAGGGTCAAGGAGGACGAAGGTGGCTGGGATGGCGCAGCATTCCTAGCTCCTCTTCCCAGCCCAGCCGCTGCCTTTTTGCCCAGCCCTGAATGAGTCGCATCCCCTATTAGTGGTGGGGTTCCCCAGACGGGGATGGAGATAGGGATGGGGAAGCGCAAGAGCAGCCCATGTGCCCATTTGTGCCAATGCTGGAGCAGTCAAAGCCCAGAGGACCCCGTGGGAAGAGGGCATCAGGTGGAGCTGGAGGCATCCTCTGGTCCTGGTCCCCCTGGGCTTCACCGGCCATGGGGGCACGTGAAAAGTGGTGTGTATGGAAGGGGACTATCCGTTCCCAGTGTCCCCCCAGCACCGCAGAGCTGGAGCCAAGCAGGGCGCTACCTTGGTCCTGCTGCTGATGAACAGGTCCAGCACGTCCTGACGGACCTGGTCGTAGTTTTTATCCAAAAACTTGTGAACCTGGCAAAGAGCAAAACCTCACAGTGAGGAGCCCGCTGGCACAGTGGGGGGAAGTGAGGAGCTCCAGGCCAGGACATCATGGGTAGGGGGCTGCTCCTGTCCCCCAGCCAGACCCCCTGGGCTTCCCCTCACCCCCTGGTGCAGGATCAACCCCATAACCCTCCTCTTTAAAGCTCCTTAAAAGCCCAGGCTGGGAATCCCACCACCGCACACCTGGTAGGTCACCTTCCCTGCGTAGTGCTTGATGGTGAACTCGGGCAGCGGCATCTTCGGCTTGGTGTACAGCGGGTTCGTCCCGTGGTGGTAGTGACACTTCTGGAGGAATGTGTGGTCGGTGGCCTGGGGATGAACACAGGGGTGAGACACAGCTTGGGAGGTTTGGCAGCCCTGGGGACGCAGGCACCGGGATGGGGATGCCTGGACAACTGGCCAGACCCCGCTCTCAGCTCTGCCACCGAGTAGCCATATGGTCATGGGCATCTGCTGCTCCATGCCTCAGTTTCCCCAGCAGCAGAGAGGGTGCAACCACCCTTCTCTCTTTTATAGGGCAGCTGGGAGGTTTTTTTTCAGTAATTCCTGCAAAAGCCAGTCCTCAGGGGGAAGACACTCCACTGGCACCAACCTGAAACCTCTCAGGGCTTGTCCAGCCTGGAGAAAACTGAAGGGTGTCCCAGGTCATCCAGGACAGCCCAGGAGAGGAGCAACCCCAGACCACGGTGACACCCTGGGCACGGTGACCGCCTGGCACTGCCATCCTCGACGCCTCAGCACTGGGCAGCCCCTCACCTGGGGGAAGCAGCTCTGGTCATCGAGGATCCGGAGGATGCCGTAGGGCTTCTGGGAGATGAGGTCGATGCAGGGCTGGTTGTCGCTGAAGGGGATCTCCTTCCACTCAATCTGCTCCCGGAGGTACTCCTCCTACGGGGCCGGCACTCGCTCAGCCCCGTGCCCCCAGCCCCGCGGTGATGCTTGGCACGGGGGCAGAGACCAGCACCGCTCGCCGTCCCACCTGCTCCTCCTGGAAGACGATCTTGTTGAAGAAGAACTGCAAGTACTCGTTGGCGTAGTTGATGCACAGTTGCTCGAAGCTGTTGAAGCTGAGGTCCTGCGAGAAGAAGGGGCCGCGGTGCCTGAGACCCTGCAGCCCCGGGGCTGGCAGCCGGGGGGATGGAGCCAGGATGGATCCTGCTCACCTCGAAGCCGTAGATGTCCAGGATGGCAATGGAGAGGGCCTCCTGCCGCGGGTACACCAGCTTGTTGATGCGGTCCGTGAGCCAGCCAAAAAGCAGGGAGTAGAGGGTCTTGGCAATGGCATCCCTGGGGAGGGGGCAGACGATCAGAGCGCTGGAGCTCCGGCACGGCACGGCACGGCACAGCACGGCACGTCCCCACCACTGTGGCCAGCGCAGCCCCACATCATGCATGGGGCAGCCCTTGGGGCTGCAGTTTTAATCACCAGAAAGCCTAATCTGCACTGGGGGACCTGACCATCCCCTTTCCCAGTGTGGCATCTCACCTCCCGCCCCGTCCCCGGGGACCAGGCACCCCCCATGCAGTGCAGCCCCCCCCTTCCCTCTACCTGGCATCCACGGCGCTTTCGACGGTCAGAGGGGTAAAAATCTTTTCCCGCAGTGTTTCCTGGTTGGGGCGCACAAAACCAAGGGTGTGATGGAGTTTTAGCAACACCAGCCATGGTCCCCAGGGAGCAGGGACCCCCCCTCCCTGCCTGTGCCCCCCCAGCCCACGCTCACCGTCACCTTGAAGGTGATGGCTTTCTGCAGGCCCTCGGGGGAGACCTGCCGCAGCAGCACCCGTCCGGAGCTCCGTGGCACTCACCACCGTGGCGACCTCCTGGCAGTCGGTCTGCAGGACACGGTGAGGCGGTGGGATGAGGTCAACCCCCCTGCTTCCTCTGCTGCATCCCGAATTGAGCCCGAAGAGCGCAGCTTGGCTCTACTTCGGGTACCTCGTATTTTTCAAAGTAGACGTTGCCCAGGTGGAGGACGGAGGAGAGGATGCGGAAGATGCTGTTCTGCTCCTCCACGCTGAAGCCCAGCACCTCCATGGTGTTGAGCAGCCGACGGAAATCCTCCGCGTCGTCCTTGCCGGGGATCTCGCAGTTCCCACCCTGGCACGGCCCCCTCGGTGCCATCAGCAGGTCACGAGGTAGGGGGGCAGCACCCAGGGGGGCATATGGGGGGGGACACCCTGCCCTGAACACCCTCCCCATCCGCACACCGAATCCAGGAGGACTCAGGAACCCACTGGCACCCGGGCTCGGCCAGCCACCCAAAAAGCAGGTGGCATGGGGGGTGTCGGGCAGGGGTCACGCTACCTGGTTCAGGTAGTAGTAAGTCTCGGCACCTTGCAGGCCGTACCGCTGGCGCTGCT